CGCCGTTAAAACATGCTAAGAACATGCGTGTGGTTGTGGTTGTGGCAGACGTCATCGTCGCTGTTGCTGCAGGGGTTGTAGTTGTTGTCGTGTTGCCGCAATAAACCGTTGCGAGAGGAGAGAAAGCCGTAGCCGCAGCAGGATGATGTCAAGGATGGATCGTGCTCCTGCCACGAATTAGACGAGGCCCTTGCCTCATTACTCATGACCTCCTGCAGGCAGATTGGATCTCTGTCCTTACTGTAGCTGGAAAAGGCAGGATATTAAAGGCTCTGACCGAGGTCTTGAAGAACTCTCATCCAGCGGCCCGCGGTGGCTTGTGAAACAGGCCCTCATCGCTGCTGAACAGTTGCAGTCGTGCCCATCCCAGGTTCAAGTCTTAGGCCTTCTGATCCCGAAATGGGGAAACCCCGACAGGCTACCTCAGCGACGAAGGCAAGCCTATGCCTTCAAAAGGGACACTGCATGGCGCCATTCCGGCAGCAGAACAGCTTCCTGAGCAAGGGCTTCAGACCATGGCTGCGGCTACGAAGGGATGTCAAATCAGGGTTCGGTTCCCGCGCTCAGCCGGAATTTAGGTCTTGGCGCTTCTGTGTGTGGTACGAACGTCAACCACCCCGCGGTTCAAACAAATGTTTTGAGATTTCAGCAACTTCCCTGCTCGTGATGAGATTGTATCTGCTGGAGGGCCGCTATCTCACTTCGCTTGTTCGTTCTATTCCGAGAGTCGTGACCGCCGCAACCTCTAAGGACAACAATCTTGCAAAGGTTGAGTGACAAGCTATCAAAGATTCGGGCCCTCGTGAAACAGGAACTGTCGAAAGTACTCCCCCATGCCAGAAAACACCGCTTTCAGCGCAGCACTTCAAACATCCGAAAATCTGAAGGACCTACCTGAGCCCCCATGCCCGCTCCCTCAAGCGGCTGAGGCACTTCTCCAAGGACCACATCTCCATCCAGTTCTCCGTGTTTGCGGAGCAATCATGCTCCGGCACCTCCTCTTCAGCTTCAGAAGGCTCCGACGTCTCCTGAGGAGCCCTTTGCTCTCCGGCCTGCTCTGCGGCCGCACTGGGCTCCGTGCCCGCCCGTTGCCGAGCCTGCTCCAAAGCCCATTGAGAAGCATGTTGCTCTGCATTTGGCTCCTCAGATTCAAGAGAAACTCAACTTGCTCACCAGACCTCAGCCAAAGGTTCAACTGGAAATCCTGCCGACTTAAACAGAAAACGAAACTGTGGGTCGTCGCTACACTGCTTTTGTGTCCAAGCCTCCTCCTGTCCTTCTCCATACGCCTGTGCCGCTGCAGCAGTGGTTGGGGTGGGTGTGGTTGTTGTGGTGGTGGTCGTCGTTGTGGTGGTCGTAGTCGTTGTGGTGGTCGTTGTGGTTGTGGTGGTCGTGGTGGTCGTGGTGGTCGTCGTGGTTGTGGTGGTCGTGTAAATGAAAATAGCCTTGGCAGCAAGTGGGGTGGTAGTTGTCACTGCCTCAGTCGTTGTCTGAATTGTGGTTGTGTCGCTCTGCGTGGCCGGCGGCTGCGGCAAGCCGTTGATGGCCTCCCACACAATAGCAAGAGTGGACAACGGGTCTGAAATGCCCCACGTGATTCATAAAAATTCCTGTTCACTCCTACTCCTACGACTCCTACTACACCTGCAACTACCACCCACTGCTATAACGACGTCTACTACCACCACTACTACGACTACGACTACTGCTGCTGCTGCTGCTACTATTACCACTACTACTGCTACTACTACTACTACTACTACTACTACTGCTACTGCTACTACTACTACTACTACTACTACTACTACGACCGTGAGCGGAAAGCTCTGCTGAGGTGAAAAGAAGCGCAGCCGCA